CTTTCTTGGCAAGAGTCAAACATCAATGAGTATGCTTTAGAAACCTCCAAGCACAACTTACCAATGCTTTGGAACATGCACATAGTTCACCATTTACTATTTGAGAACCCAGCCTCATATCAACACGAGGCTAATGACATGTCCCTCACCCTTACTGCTTCCCTGCCCCTTTGCACTTTACACAGAAGTTCCTATCTGTACTCTAAGGGTGGCTTCTGCTTCTCTGGCCATTAGGTGACATTTTGTTAAATGTGAATGGGATTGAACTAACAGAGGTCAGCCGGAGCGAGGCTGTCACATTATTGAAAAGCACATCCTCCTCAGTGGTTCTTAAAGCTTTGGAAGTCAAACAATGTGAGCCCCAGGAAGACAACAGCAGCCTAGCAGCCCTGGACTCTAACCACAACGCGGCCCCGTCCGGCGACTGGTCCCCCTCCTGGGTCATGTGGCTGGAACTACCACGGTAAGTGCCAATGTGACAACCTGGGGAGTTATGGGAGAAAACAATTACATTTCTTAGACCACTCTTCTACTCTCTTGGACTGATTCATGGCACTAGCATCTTAATGAACCCCAGGCTTGATTGTGGGACTATATGAAATAATACTTTTTTTTTTTTTTTTTTTACTGAAAATGCATACAGACATCCTAGTGCAGGGACGAAAGCCTGGATATTGAAACATTCAGCATTCACATTGAGGGGCCCACAGAGCTGCCATGTACCGTTGTTTTGATTGTCCATGCTACAAGCAGCTTAGCTAACAAGGAAGAGGCTGAAATCCAGCCTGTGTACACATACTCTGGAACTGGGGAAGGATCAACCTCTCCCTCATTTGCTAGTAGCAGCCCTAGGAACATGCATGGAGCATGACTCTCTTCTAGGATTTTACCTCTTTAGCTTTTGGGTGGCCCTGGCTCAACATAAAGCAATGCAGAACACTTTGCCTTCACCCACGTTTAAGCATGTGTTAAGGATGTGTCTCAAGTCTCCTCTCCTTTATTTCTACACTTGTGATGTTCTTGTACAACTTCAGGAAGCAGCTGGGTTGTCATTTTAGTGAGATGTAACTAGAGTCTTATAGTGAAGTCATTTAATTCTCAAAGACACTAGGATTTGAGGGGTAGCCTTGCTAAATGGCTATATACAGAAGTTAAATATTTAGAGGACGGATATATTGGGGTTTGCTCACCCACATTAGAACATAAACTCCTGGCCTTTAAAAGATTGTCTTACTAATTTTAAGTACATGATTCATATGTTAAATATCAGAGTCACTGAAGATGATATGCTGGCTAGGATTAAAAGCAGGATGTTTAGTTTTAGTACATTTTTCTTGAGGGTGGAGATAGGTCGAGTCTCTCATTTTCTCTTTAAAAATTTTTACATGCGGTTTAAAAAAACATCTCCGACTCAAATACAAACTGACCTAGATTCCTTTTTGACCCTTCACTAATTGATACATTTTAAATGAGTGCATATTTAAACAGTTGAAAACAGCACCGGGGCAGTTTAAAATCTTTAAACATTTTAGAATCAAGACTGGGTGGAAGTGTTAAACTGACTTAAATCTTTCTGAAGATGAAATCTCTTAATACAGATCATTTTTTTGTGTGTGCTTGAAAGCTACTGTTATATGATCAAGGTTTATATAAGATGGCAAATGTAAGATTCTTTTTACTCCCAATACAACCAAATGAATGGCTTTCTTTCCCTCACCTTTTGTCACTTGGCCTTGGGAGAGCACATCTGCTCTTGCCAGTTGTCTGGATTTTACTCATTTCCTTTAAAAGAGTAGAAAGGCAGCATGAAGTAGTGCTTAAGGAAGCTCTGCTAACAGCCGGCCTGCTTATTTCTGGTATTCCCGTGTGGAATGTGTGGTTTGCCCATCAGTGGACCACTGTGGACCCCAAGGCTCCTCCATCAGCTTGGTCTGCACTCTACAGCTGTGGGCATCCTCTCTTCCATCTTCCTTGACTTCCACTGCCTTTGGCAGTTCTCCCTCATTATCTAGTGACTCGGTTTTAAGATGGAATTTGCATTTGTTTTCAAGTCTCCAAGGTGTTAATTTTTAAAAGAAATGATACAACTAAAACAGTAGGAATATCAATTGTTTATTTTCACAATCATGCTGCATAACAACCAGCTGTAAAAACCTATCAGTAGCAGACAACAACGTATATATTTAGCCATGAGTCTGTGGGTCTCAGCTAGAGTCTGTAGGCTAAGCTAGATTGATCCTGGCTCGCCATGTTTAGGTATTAAGGATTTGGCTGGCCGTGGTAAAAATCCCACTAATCTTATGGCTGACTCCAGAATCAGAATAGGAAGGTACCACGAAATTATGTAATCAGGGGCATAAATACTAGGACAACTTGGGGCCATTAATGCAATTATTCTGTCACAGTAAGGAAGAATGAGGAGCTGTTAGTTGTTCTAGACATGCTGCATTTGAGATACCAGTGGGACTTCCAAGTATGATAAACATGTCTAGAACAGAAATTCCCAATGTTTTTGTCTCAAGACCCCATACACATTTATGAAGTACTGATGATCCTAAAGAGCTTTCGTTTATATAGGTTGTATCTAATATTTATTATAAATTAATCTGAGAAATTTTATTCACTTAAAATAATAAACCCCATTATATGTTAACATAAATAACATCTTTTATGAGAAAAGCAATATTTTTTAAAAAATTAGTGAGAAGAGTGGGATTGCTGTGTATTTTTCACAAACCTCTTTAATGTTTGGCTTAATAGGACTCTCATATCTACTTCTGCATTCAATTTGTTGCCAGATCGCCTATCATGTGTTCTCTAGAACATGCCATTGTATGCTTATAAGAAAATGAGAGTGAAAGGCAAATAATGTCTATTATGATAAAAAATGTCTTTTTGATCTCCAGACCCTGAAAGGCACATAATTTGTGAACCACACTTAGGTAATGTAGGGACTCAAGTGAAATATGGAATCCTGCTGAGGAAAGAGAAGCCCCTGAAGGAGATTAAAGTAACAACTCATGAAAAAACAAAAACAAAACAAAAAAATATAGATAGCTTTAAGAGCAACCCAAGAGTTCACCATACTCACCAACTCCTATCAACAGTTTAAATTACTTTCGAGATAACCATAATTTTCTTATTTGGAAAAACTACTAAATTCCTTGCTACTCTTTATACTTTGCCAATTCTTCTTTAATTAGGCCTAAATTTAGAGAATGAGTTCAGAATAGGAAAAAAGCTCACATTTAAATGAGTTTAACAAATGTTAATGACCAACTTCATCATTTAACAAAACATTGCACAAGAGACTTTTTATTGGTTTTTCAAAAAGTAGTTGCTATTTAAAGGTACAGCTTATAAACAAAACAATCATCTCTCAATTTTTATCAACATGAAAATGTTAATTTTCTTTCAAACCAGTCCCTGGACTGGGGCAATTTAAAGTCAAATCCAGCTCCTGACATACAACCTGTGTCCTAACTGTAACACAGTTTGCACTTAGCCTGCACCTATGTAAACACTGATCCAACTGCTACTGAATAGTAAAAGAAATCATTTCCTCAATCTAATTTCTATTTTAGCTGGGTGCTACTCATTTACAGACCTGCGGTCTCTTTCTCCCATTCCATTTATAACCTGCTATTCCACTTACTGCCAGTGTTCTCTCTTCCAATATAAGTCATTCTTATAATGTTTAAATGTGCAATTCCCATTCACTATGCCTGCATGCTTCTTTATAACTTTTATCAAATATGTAGAACTACATATAAACTGATATTTTTCAAAAGTCAAAATAAGGGTAGGTTTAAATTTTTTTCAGAGATTAATCATTTATTCAAAGAATTTTTACCTTCATTAAAATTTATATCACGTAAATAAAAATATGACATCTGTAAGTATGCTTAAATTTGATTCACCAATAAAGATTTAGGCATTTTCAACTTTTTGTTAAATAAAAATTGAGGCATTAAATCTTTAAGCCAAAAATGATTCCTTCCTAATAGACATCTAAACAAAACGGTGTCATTTTTTTTAAAGGTGTTTAGCTATGGAAAACAAGTTCAATGAGAAAAGGCCAGCTAATACCACAAAGATCAACGGGCTATGACAATTTTGAGTGAGACCTGTCCACTGTTATTTAGCTTAAAAAATAATGCCAATAAAGAAAATGGGAGATGAATCACAATTATTAACTATGAGTTCAACTTCATGAATTCAACTTAAATATGCATATACATTGATTACATTCTATTTCAGGTACCTGTATAACTGTAAAGATGTCATTTTACGAAGAAACACAGCTGGAAGCCTGGGCTTCTGCATTGTAGGTGGTTACGAAGAATACAATGGGAACAAACCTTTTTTTATCAAATCTATTGTGGAAGGAACACCAGCATACAATGATGGAAGAATTAGGTAATAATAACCACTTAAAAAACTTATATTCAAATATTTTGTTTTATACATGTAAAAGCTTGGCCCCACTTGAAATAAGGTATGTATTTATTATACCTTTGTTATTGGTAGGAAGTTAAAAACATTTATGTAGCATTCAATTTCTATGAAATCCAAAATGATTACAGTTACCCTGGGTCCCATAACAGCAACTTGCTATAACTTTAGCATCCCTTCTAACACAAACTGACTGGATAGAGAATTTGCAGAATTTAAAAGGAGGAAAAAAAACCTTAATTAGCAGTAATGTAATAACTAAAATCGACAGATGTAGGAAAAACTAGAACCACCAAGTAAACTTGCATTAACTTCAGTTACAGATTAAAATGTTAATCATATATATCTTTTTTTTTTTTTTTTTAGATGTGGTGATATTCTTCTTGCTGTCAATGGTAGAAGTACATCTGGAATGATACATGCTTGCTTGGCAAGGATGCTGAAAGAACTTAAAGGAAAAATTACTCTCACTATTGTTTCTTGGCCTGGCACTTTTTTATAGAATTAATGGTGGGTCACAGAAAAATAAGAAATCACAAATAAGCTATGTTGAAACAATATATTTATCTTGTCAATTTTTATATTTAAAGGATACATTGTAAAAATGTAAGCTTTAATGTCAGGAAAAGTATCTAATGAAAACCAGTTACACCTCAGAAAATATAATTCTCAAAACAAACATTATTAATTGTTTTTATTCAGTGTGGATTTCTCATTACTCTACAACTTTACGTTTATATTTTTCTATTTAATAAAAAGCTCTTAAACAGCTGAAATTGTTTGTATGCTCCCACTGAATTTGAATCATACAATTAAATAAAAAATCTGGTATATGCCAAAGTCTGCAAAGGGTACATTCTGGGTATTTTAAAAACAATTTACAGCCAGAGGATTTTAAAAGTGTATTGCTGAAAAATGTTCATCAAATGAAAAATAAATATTTTTCAAAAATTATAGTTGTCTTTTAGTATGTGATACTAAACTCATTTCTAATATCACTATTTAAAAGGTCCTAGTAATTCTTTCAAAACTATGTTACCGTCACATGCTTCCTAAGGATTAACTCACAGAATTATAAACTTAGATTTTTCTTAGATTTAATAGGAAATGACTAAAGCTCTTATCATTCATTTTTATTCACAATATAGTTAATAACTGTATAAAACCTCTGCATGCTGCTCAATCAATGAGCCTTGGAAAAAGTATCAAGAAAGGCCTAACCAGCTTGATCCTGGCTCACACTGATGGCCATGAGGGAAATCAAATTTGTGTCATAGTGACAAGTGTCCATGTACACGCTAAAAACTACACTTAGAGTAAATTATTTCACAGAGGCCACCCAAATACCTTTATATTTTACTAATTTGGATATAAAAATTCCCCATTTAATTTCACCATAAACCCAGATTTAGAAGAGTGAAAACTTGCTATCAAAAAGTTGTGATATCAAAACTGTATGAGCTCTTCAATATGCTAAGCTACAGTTAACACAGCAGCAATAATAAAAGACTAGTTTTAATCTCAAGACTCAAAGGTGCCTTTTGATGACTTTTGCAGTGCAACCTCTTGAGAGTCAAGTTATTTGATTAACTCAAGAACACTATTGCCAAGATGGAACCTTGACCTTTATCAGATACTGGTTATGTACACAGCTAAACATAGCTCTTTAAATTCCCTGCTGAATGACTCATTCACATTACTTTCTTGGATATAAAGTCATTGCTCTTATTTTTAAATATTACAAGACAAAGATTTTTAACTTAACATGAAAAATTCACTTTTATTTTGGGAAAAAAAAGTTTTCATACTAACAGAAGATTAAAGGCAAATTTCTTAAACATTATCCAGAAAAATAACAAGATTTATAGTATCTATTTCTGGCACTAATATACACAAAGGTTATACCATGCCTATTCTGCAGGTGTAGCTTCAGTGCTCTCCTGTTCAGGGGCAGGCTCACTGCCAGTTTCTTTTCCTTCTTTGCTTCTTTTAGATTTTTTGTGCTTGTGTCTCCTGTGACTGTCTCCTTCTTCACTTTCATGGCGACGTCTACTATTACTGAAAAAAAAAAAGGTATACTCAAACATTTTTAAGAACACACAAGTAGTGACAAAATCAATCCACGTTGTCTAGGTAAATTCTCAACACTGGGTTTTAAATAATCCATTCTTTTTCTTTTTCTCAAA